TCCCCCCCCCCCCCCCCCCCCCTCCGCCCAACATGCTAAGTACCCAGAACTCCAGTGGACTTCAGGTTACCTCAGACTGGCCTACAGAAAATTATGCAGTGTGGTCCATTAAATGGGAGTTTTTCTATCAGGATTTCTCAATTTTCTGATCTTAGTTTTTTAAATGTTATGACTAATTCCTTCTCTGTAACTGAAAGAGGTTTATAGGGCTATTGTCAACTCCTTATGGGCATAACAACATAACGGAAATAGGAATCATAGGATTACAGGAAATTAGGGCTGAAAGGGACTTCATGAGGTCATCTAATTTGAGGCAAGGTCATCCCTGATTTAAACCACCCCAGTCATGTTCTTGTCAAACCTGCTCTTAAAATTTCAAGGGATGAATGTTCCACAACCTCGCTAGGCAACCTGTTGCAATTCTTACCCCCTCTCGTAGTAAGAAAGGTCTTGCTCATTTCCAGCCTAAATTTCCTCTGCTGTAGTCTGAGACTATTGCTTTTAGTACTATCCTTTCTAGCCAAAGAGAAAAGCCCATCTCCATCCTCTCTATAATCTTGCTTCAGCTATTTCAAGAATGTTATCAAATCACCCCTTAGTCTTCTCTTCTCCCAGCTAAATTACCCTAGTTCTTTCAGCCTTTCCTCATGTTTCCCAGGCCTCTAATAGTTTTTGTCACCTTGTTGGATTCTGTTCGGTCTGTCCCTATTCTGCTTGAAATGAGGGGCCTGAAACTGGACACAGTACTCCAAGTGAGGCTTCACCAGTGCTGAATAGAGCGGGAGAATCACTTTCTTTGATTTGCAAATGACACTTCTCTTCATACAATCCCATATGTTGGCTTTTTTGCAACAAGACCACACTGTTAGCACATATTCAGCTTTATGGCTCACTGAAACCCCCAGATCTGTATCAGCAGATCTGGGTCCCAGTGTTCCTTCCTTCCCTGCAGTTATATATGAGCGAGGAGTATTATTTCTGGTGTGTGAGTATCTGTTTCAGTTTAGATTTCCTCCATGGCAGAACAAGGAAGGCTGCCGTGGGATGGGAAGCTGTTACTGTAATTAAATCTTCTGGGTATACACCCTTGAGATCCCTTCAGACCCAAGTGGAAAGTAGTACAGCTCTTCCACTCTTCACTTGAAGACACTTTTGGAGGGAAGGACCATAAGCGCATTTAGCTAAATGATGCCCAGCAGACGCTGGATGCAGCATGAGGTCTCAGCTTGCATCCAAGTAATTACAGGAAACTGGTAAATTAATCTATTGAATAATGGGGCACTATGGCAAATTCATTGTTGGTCTGACTCCCATTATCCCCCAGCCAGCAATTGGACACTACTGGATACTTCACCTTTATTTATCTTTCCTTTAGAGTCATGAATTAACCAGTTTACTGTACTACATCAAAACCCTCCATGAGGAAGATACCTGCTAGGAGCTCCACGAGGCCCACCAGATTCTGGCTATATTTCTGTCCAGTGTTATAGTATAGAGTCATCTCTCAAGCCATACTTAATATTTGCTGCATTTATTACATTTACATTTGTAGAAAGAACTAGGAGTTTTCTTAGTTGTTTGACCTGGATATTAAGAGATCAGCTTCTGAGACACTGGAATTCCAGAGTTAGAGTACTGCCACAACTCTTTGTTATACTTGTACAAGTAAGTGATACAATCAGAGTTTTCACATGTGGATGCCTAAAGTTAGGTACCTAATGCCATGCTTAGGCAAGTGCAAAAGAGACCAAAAAGAAAATTGTTCTTTGAAGCCTCATAAACTGATATAGACATAGCTTTGAACCGTCCATACCAAGCTGGCAAATAGAGCAGACCCAGCATCTGTTGAGGTCCCTGCAGCATACTTGTGTAGGTATTCTGCAGCATTCATATATAGCAAAGGGCTTAGTCTGTCTGTCTGCCCATCCGTAACGCTCTTGGAGCACTCTGATTGGTTAGTGAAACAACTAATCAGAGTGCCACCATGATGGCAGGGATGGAGCGGGGGGCAAGGCCAGCGCTGCTGGCCTCGCCTCCCCCCCGCTCCTTCCCCACCATAATGGTGGTGGTCTGCCACCTCTGAGGAGCAGGGCTGTGGGGGACGAGGACAGCGGTGTTGGAGGTAGCAGCGGCCCGGGGTGCTGGCAGAAGGGGATGGTGGGGCAAGCTTCCCCTCGCCCCATCATTCTTGATGGGCGATTCACTAGTATATGTATAGCTGGCTGGAAATTATATGGTAGTTTAGTCTGATTTACTAACTATAATTTTTTAATTAAATGCATTGAATAATGCAATTATTAGTCCCTCTGGTGGTAGCTTTTTTGTTTTTAATTACTAGTATGTAAAATTTCCAGTCTTTATCAGGAGAAAGGATTGTAGGATATGCGTATTTGCTAAACTTTACTTGAATGAAATGTGAGTTGGCATTTAAATTGGTATTTTCACATTTCCTTTAGCAGTGAATGATATAAATGGGCAACTCACACCTACTGGAACCATTTTTATGCTGTGAAAATTGTCCATATTGCTTGTATTTTACTTCAATTTTCAAGGGTAAACTTTTTTGTAGGGGAGCTTGCTGTAGAGTTGTTCAGCAAAATGTGGTTATGAGGTGAATTCTGCTGAATGAGAGAATACAAGTCTTCTCTTATAGCTGGTGATAGTTTCTCTCTCTTCCATAAACTGACAAAAATAGCCTTAGCATATCACAGACTTCCTAGTATTTTTCCCACCAGAGTACATTAGCCTTAGTGGATCAGGTAGGGATGCAGAAGCATCTGTTTCAGGCAGTGCTTCATTACTGAAAAAGGGAACTGTTTGTCTGACACCTTTATCATTTGTTATAAGTAACATGCTTAATGGTTATATATAGATTTTTGATTATCCCACTCCTTTAGTATAACCCATAAACTATGTGAGTGGAATATAATGAATGTTTTCAGTTTTTATCTAAAAGGGCAGACAAGCATATTTTGTGTGGGAGGGTCTGATAAATTATCTTGACAGCTTTTCAGTTGACAGTTGCTGAACAACTAATATATAGAGGTATATTAGTGGTGTTTCTTTTAATCATGGAAAAATGTGGATTTGGGGTTACTTTTTTTTTAAATCCGAAATTTGGAGATTTTTTTTTTTTAAATTGGAGAGAACCTGGATCCCTGTTGATGACCATGACAAAGTTGGACAACATGGGCTGTTATTGCTAAATGAGGAAACAGGAGGTTGAGTTGCTGTTCTCTGCATCACTATAATAGTAATCTGGTTTTCCCAGGTAGGACAGCAAAGGGAACAAAAATTTAAAACTGCTGATGTTCAGCTTAATTAACACATAATACACAAATAACAAAATGCATTATCCAAGGCATAAGAGAGCATAGAGCTGATTGTAATTGCAGTGAAGACTGTCATAAATGCAGCCAATATTACAGGTGTTCTGCTCAAGTTTATTTGAAGACAATGGCTAATTTTCATGGTGTAGGTTATATTTATTCCTTTTATAACTAAATTTAAACATTTAGTATTGAACGTAACATTGGCAGAGGTTGGACTAGGCGAGATAATAAGTTCTTTCTATCTTTTCAGTGATTCTCCCATTCACGCTGTGTCAGGAGAATGGGTCGTGTTACATAGTCTGGATATATAAAGTATTTCAATAGCCACAGGCTTCCATAGCGTAACCACCCCTGGATAAATTTGGTCCTACCTATTTTGAGGCATCTTATTCTTTGTCTACTGATTTTTTCTCTTGTGAATATGCATAAGGCTGTGCCTTTGACATGAAAAGTTGGTTTGAGAAGTTAGGGAAAGAGATTTATCAGACAGACTCCTGGTTGGTTGTCTTTGCTACAGAAGAAGCCTTGCCATTTTAGAGGTGTTCAGTCTTTTTGGTGTGGAACTTCTTTTCTCAGACCACAAGAACTCATTGAGCCTTAGTAATTGTAGTATCACCTATGGCCATCCATTTCAGCTCTTGGCAAGACTGCTGTGAAGTGGTGACCCTGCAATTGCAGCTGGCTTCTGGGTAGAAAGAGAGGGGAATGGACTAAGGAGTGAGAGCCCCCCTCTGCTCACACCCATTTCAAGCCAGGTACTATCTGGTCCTTTATCAGTAGATAACTAAGTAAAGAACCCAGTTTGTGTTCATGAATGTCTTCAAGAAGAAAGAGACTTCTAACAAATGACCTCAGAAGAATACACAGCTCAAATGGACTGTGTTCTGTTCTTCCAGACCAAAGGCTAAGCCTTGAAAACATGATTTTTGCAGCTTTTCATGGGGTCCTGAGTGCTCTATATTTATGCTGCCACAGAAAGAACTGGTTACACTCGGAGGAGGAACACGGGGAAGTGTGTCCAAAGGACTGAAATGAGTTTGCAGCTAAAGGATCCACATCATGAATAGATACACAACTATCAAACAGCTTGGCGATGGAACATACGGCTCTGTCCTCCTAGGGAGAAGCATTGAATCTGGAGAGCTAATTGCCATCAAGAAGTAAGTTATTTGAACTATTACCGAACAAGTTAGTATTAGATTGGCACACACAGACAAATATGCATCCTATGTACAAAACATGTATAACTTGTATGCTTGGAATTTACTGCAATACAGTCTAGATCCTTCCTGATATAATAACTGCAGTAAGAAGTTAACTGAGATACCCTTACACAATGTTGTAAAATACACACTCTTCTTCTCATGCTACTATCTTAGTTATCTCAGGTGTGATGAGTAAAGATTCATGCTTGTAGAAAACAAAGCTACCAGTACAAATTCCATCTTGTGAATAGGTGCAGGAAAATATAAACTTGTGAATGAATTAGATATTTTAATGTGCCTCAAGTTAAATGGCAGTTTACCAATTTGACCCAACTCTTGGAAGGTTCAGATCCATTAAACAAATTTACCTCAGTGCATTTGGTTTTATCATACCACAAATGTTTCTTGTTTTGAAAAGGTAAGTGTGTCTTTTGATCCCAGCTGTTACATGTCATGTTGTACGTTGCTCTTATTGTTCCATTCTAAATGAATAGTCTTCATGTTCATAATGTTTCCATGGCAGAATGACCCAGTCACGGTGAGAATTTGGCTCAGTATGAAGGAGCTATTAAGATTTTAACACTGAAGTTATTTTACATTGACACCAGTCTTTTCAATATTGTAATTAAGCCCAGAATTTGACAAACCTTCATTTTCAGAGCTCCCATTCTTTTAAAAGACAGTTTCTAAAAGGACCAGTTATCAATTGTTTCTAGGTAAGATTGTATGTGGCTTAAAAAATAGGTCCACTTCTATTTAAAAAAAACAAACAAGCATAGTCACAGGCTGAGATTTCATTATGTTACCTACACCTCTGATTAAAAACAATAGAGGCTTTATCTTCACTAGGGAAAATGTATATTTTAATTTGTTATACAGGCACAGGCTACAGAGGTTTGTATAAGCTACAGCCATTTTCACAATGCTTTCTATATCCATCTTTAAAAAAAAGAAGTCTGCGTATTCACCTGGCGGGGGGAAAGTTTATTTTTATCCTGTGTTAAACTTAATTTTATGATCCTATTGAAGATAGGCAGGTGCAATTTTATCAAGGGGTTTCCCTCTATCAGTTCCCATGATTAAAAACTACAACTGTCTTGTTATTACTCATGTGGTAACACAGGGTAGCTGAAAAACATTTGAAATGTTTTTCACTATTTTATCCAGCACAGTTGTAACATGGCATCTAAATCCAGTTAGTACAAGGCTTGGTTTTTGAGGCAGGGAGGGAAGAGGGAGCATTGTCCAGAAAACTTGCCATATGTTTCAGTTTCTCATTATTACAGAAGGCGGCCTCTGCAGTAGGTCAGCACAATGGAAAAGATACTTTGTGCACTTGCCCTAATTTATTGTACAATAGGAATTGACAGGAATTAAGAGTTAAGAAGCAATAATAGAGCATTAGAACTGCTGACCTAGGACTATCAATGCAGGAGAAAACAAAAGCAATCTTTTTTTTAACCATTTCAAATGAAAACGTCAGATTTCTTATTGAAGTGATACATAACTCTCTTGGGCACACAAGTACAAATTCACTCAATTGGATTCTGTCCATGCTAGTGAAGTTGCCATGGTAAAAACACCAGAGACAGCTACACCAGGGGTGTCAGACTCCTTTGGTGTGCCACACCTCCCTTCCACCCCTCCCCCCTGCTTCCCAGGCCAGGTCAGGACCATGGGACTGCTCAAAAGCTACATCAGGACCCACCTCTGCTGGCAGGGTGAGTGGCATTGTTGTGAACTCCTGTGGCTGCCTAAACCAGTGTTTCAGCTCAGGGAATCGCAGGTGCTTACGCTACTGGTGCTTGCTCCACCACTGCTGAAACAGGGCTCCAAACTAGGGATTTCTTAGGGAGCTGCAGGGTTTTAAACTGCCACCAATTCCCAGCTGCTCTGAGAGCCCTGGGAGCTTTATATTTGACACCCTTCCTCTATGGTGTCAAAATGGATTTAAACAAGCATAACTATTTTACCTAGGTAGTATGTGACACAACATGTTCACACAGTTGTAACATGCTGATAGAAAACATTGTGTACATGAAGTAACCAGTTAATCATCTTTATTAAATGTGCATCTCTGTTAAAGCAAAGCTATTTTCTAGTTTGCAAGAAGAGATGAAACTGGAAATGCAAATATATCTTGATCAGTTCATTTGAGGAAGGATAAACAAAGTAAAAAATTAAACTGTGGAGAAAACCTGGATGCTAAAAAATGAAAAAATTGTGGTCTAAAAAGAAGTATGATGACCATGAAGTGATCATGATGGAGGAGAAAAAAAGTAGGGACCCACTCTAGTTCTCTCAAGAGATTTCTTTTGATTTGAATAAATTGGCTTTGCCATTATGAATGTGATTTAGCTGTTTTGCTATTTAAATTTTTTTTAAATCAAACTCCCACCTTTTAGTTGTGTGGGTTTACCAAAAGTCTTTTTTCTTATTTGTTCAAGATTTAAAACTGTTTAGCATTAAGAAACACATGAAAACTACTACCCCTTTATAGAACAGTAATACCTAACTCCTGTACAGCACACCTCACCTGTAGGTACAAACTGCTTCAACCAAGGAAATAACAATATCCCCTTTTTCAGATGGGGAACCTGAGGTACTGGGAAGTAGTGTGATTTATGGAGCTCAGATTATAGCTGACACTGACCCTATTACAACTTGCCTTTGCCTCTACTCACACAGGATGAAGAGAAAATTTTATTCTTGGGAAGAATGCATGAATCTTCGAGAAGTTAAGGTACCTGTTAATTCTTCAGATTTTTTTCCCTTTTTAAAAAAGATTGAAGTGATCCTCTGTGGTGGTCTGGGTGCCATAAAATATTTTCTGGCCCCTTCATTGAGTAGCCCTCTATCTTGACAGTAAGGGCTGTAGAGCACAATGTGGGTAGTTCACATTATTCCTCAAACTTTCTTAAAGCGATCAACACTATTTTGCATTCATGTAACAAATCATTTGAAAGCTGCTGCCAGATTCAGTGAACACTAGTCAGCAAACCATGCGCAAGAATAGCTTCTCAAGGCACAGGGTAGCTGTCTGAATTCTGGTGTGGCTGCTCTGCAACAATTGTAACAGGAGCTCTGGGGTTTAAGTGTGTATTTCATTGTGTATTCTAGAGCCTATGTACACATGCCCTTTGCTCATCAGTACCCTCTGTGCATACATGCCTTTCCACAGAGGTAATGCCTATTTGTGGACAATTGACCTGCAGACCCAATATTGAATGTATGGTCCTGCTGCCATGGAAGTTTTGGAGCATGCTCAGGATGTCAGTGCTAGCAGCTTTTCTTTGATTTCCAAACGTGGCTGGTACTAGTGCAGCTCAACTGGAATGACAATGGCTCAGTGCAAATCACTTTTCTTCCAATCTGGCTTCAGACAGGCTTGTCTACACTTATTGCTGCTACTGGTTATTGAAAACGTGAAGTTTTAGGGAAGGTTGGGGAAAGACAAAAGTTTTTTCCTTCAGAAAGCAAAGTTAAATTGAGTTCGAGTCCAGCCAGTCTTTTACTAGGACAGGTGCAATAAACAGTAGGGTGGGAAGCTGGGGGGGGAACACAACTATTAAGATACTTAATGTTGTTCCAGCTGGTTGTACCTGATTGGTCAATGGAGCCAAAATAAAAATGAATGTGTTTACAGCAGTTAGATTACACATACAAAGTGGAGCTCTTGCACATACGTGCATACAATAATTAATTTGGGGACTATGGCCTTCACAGTGAAGCTACCCGCTACTTGGAAAATTTAAGCAGCTTTTTAAACAAGGTCTTCTATGCAAACAATGTGAAATTTTTCGTGTATATATGTATGTATGTCCTTAAATTCTTTTTGTATTTTATGCTTCTAGTCTTTGAAGAAATTAAACCATGCCAATGTGGTGAAATTGAAAGAAGTTATCAGGGAGAATGATCATCTGTATTTTATATTTGAATACATGAAGGAAAACCTTTATCAATTAATGAAAGAAAGGTATGTGAATTCTGTCATGTCTTTGTACAAACGTGTGACACATTCTGTCAAGCGTTCATACTTATAAAAGTATTCATTCACTTGAAAAGAGTTCATGCTATTTATTTTTAGTGCCTGTGTTGTCTTTTGAAAGGTACTGTGCTTTTGTTAGGCGTCAAATGCAGTCTTAAAGTAGTACGTTACAGGATAAAGTGTGAGCCTTGCTCTGCTTTATATACTTTAGAGGGTGTGGCACCAATTTAACTACATCTGATACCAACCCCCAGTGTATATATGCTGCCCCAATATAAATCACAATGGTGCTAGGCCTTGCTTATTCTGGTGCAGCTTTTCTACAATAGGGTTCTTACCTAGCATAGCTAAAATTCCTGATATTGATCATTCCTTGTTAGTTTGACTGATTTATTAAATGGATATTATAAATAAATGTTGATAGAATCATAGGGATGCAAGGGACATTACGTGGCATTTAATCCAGCCCTGTACAGATGTGGGTTTCATTGCTCCCAAACTATCCAAGACAGATGACGGTTCTTCCTCTTCTTGAAATCTCCAATGACTATGATTCCACAACTTCTCTAGAAAGCTTGTTCCATTGTCCTGCCGTTCTTACAGTTGGGAATATTGTGGCATTTAGCATAAGATTATCATTTAGCTTTTGTGTAAATATATTTGCATGCAAGACGAGCATGCATAAAATGGCCATGGATAATTAATTAAACTCACTAAAACATCTATTTTTAGTCGGTCCTGAACATTAGCAATATTTAGCGTATGCATTATGGTCATAAGTAAAGAATATGTGCAAATGTTTTTCATGTTCAGGAGCTCTAGCAAGGGTATGTTCAGTTTTTCAAATTATTGAAATATTCCTAAAAAAATTCCCCAATAGAATGAGAAGCATGTTGAGTTTTTTTATAAGGAATCTGACAGGATGGAGTTTCACAAGCATATTTGTCCATTTGTGAGGTATGCGTATTGAATTGCATTTATGTATTTACAAATGGACATTTGAATACCAAAATACTGCTTTGCTGGCACAAACGTTGCTTGGTTTTATATCCAGTTGTGGCAGCCCTTGCATGAAGCTGCAGATGTGACTAGACATCAGGCCTTATTTATGAAATGCTAAACCTCAAAAAATGCAGACTCAAGAGTATACAATGCTATTTATTCCTGTGTGGTATTACAAGTAGCATGCCTGCTTTACTCATAAAAAAACAAATGCTTTAAAGACATTGTATGGCATAATGAAAGGATTAAGCATTTTAAACATAAACCTGCTTTAATTATGTGTGTGAATGTCAGCTAAAGCTCTATTTTTATACATTGGAGGGGAAAGCAAAGAAACTCATTTATTTTTCCATTACCATTTGCTAAAAATGGGTATTAAAGTTTGACTCCAGTTGCTGATTTCACTTTTAAAATATGTGATAGGATAAGTTCAAGGGTGGAATCAAACCCAGGGAGTTTTAAAATGCTCAGGCCTCTTGTTTCATTACTCCTAGGCTCCTTGTAGTGTTGCTTATCACTGATCTCCCAAGGCCACTGTCACTGTGTTGGAATGACTTGAGGGGGTGCTAGAGGTACTTGTCACCTTGCCCATGAGTCTAGCTCTTCTTTCCTTCAATAGTAAGAGTTGCTTTAAACTTGTTGCCCTAATCCTCTTTCAGGATATTGCAGTCGTAACTGCCTGTACTATCAACAGCTACAGAGCAAAATGTCTTCCTGAAAACAGAAGGGAAAGGCAATTAGATGCCCCTTCTCTGTTAGAGGGCAAAACTAAGCAAAATATTTGATCCTTGCAGATTGAAGAAGTGAGGCCAGTGAAAAAAGTACAGTGAAGGCAATAAACTGAGACAGGCTGTCTCTGAATCCCTACAAAACTGTGGAATGCGCCTGATTCTCTTTTGTTTCATTAAAAGTTAGCAGTAGATTATGCAGCTTCTTGTCCAGCTTGTATCTGTGGAATGGATTTTTCTAGTGGGTGTTTTTACTGAAGATTCATATAAAAGATAAACTGCTGTATTAACGCACCAATTAATTTCTGTTTTACCATACAGAAACAAACTCTTCCCTGAATCAGTGGTTAGGAATATTATGTATCAGATCCTGCAAGGGCTTGCATTTATCCATAAACATGGTAAGCCATATTTTAGCTCTAAGTATTTTGAATGTGAGTTTTAATGCATTAATAGAGGCGCTCGTAAAAGGGCAGCGTTGTTCATTTTCAGATCACTGATTCCAAGTTTAGGAAGGTTACTAGAGAATTGTTATCTGATGGTTGCCTGGTGTGCAATAATGACCAGCTTTGCTGGGTGTCTCTCCAGTTCCTAGTGGATAGGTTTCCACATAATCAAACTATCACAGCTAACACTAATGGGAACTTCTCTTAACAAGTTTGAGAGACCTCAGAGATTGGGCTCTTTCAGATGGCCCTTTCAGGTAACAACTGAGGGGACTAAGGTTAAGTTAGTGGGACAGTATAATAAGGTTCAGACTGCAGTCAGCTGTGTTGTACCTGTTCATTAGATAAATAGAGGGTCCCAGGTTTCAGAGTTTATGCTCTGGCACTTTTCCTGAACATTCTTTTTATTTCACGTTTGTCTCTAGTGCAAGTGTCAAGTGTATATACACAGATGGTAAAATGTCCATGTGATAAACAGCTTGCATGATTTTCCAGGCAGCCTTTAAGATAACAGTAAGGATTGACTTTGTGTACCAGTCAGATCTAATAAGACATTTTAAAGTAAAACCAATATTTTAATCAAGCAATTTCATTTTTTTCTTTTCATTGTATATTTGTCGTGTTTTTCCTTTCTGCATCACTGTGTTGCAGATTCCCTGTACTTAGTACACTGGCTATTGGTTCTGCAAACCCTTCACAGGAACAGCTCCCATCAGTAATTAGTGGGAGCCTTGGAAATGGAATTGTAAGCCCCCAAGTTACTTTAAATAATACACTTAGATTTGTCCCTTTATAAAGCATTCCTGTGCTAATAGATTTATTTGCCTACAGTTAAGTTAGTGGCACTTGGCCACAACTTTCAAAGCAATCAAGAAACACTTGACAGCCCTTCACAAGGATGCATACAACATATTTTTATAATATTAATCTAATATCATCTATGGGCAGATACCAAAGTCCTCATTAATATATTCTGGCAAAGAAAGCATAAGATTTCAGAATGTTTTGTATTTTTGCTCAGCATGATGTAGACACAAGAACTGGAATTAATTGGTTCTGACAAAGCTGCTTTATTGTTATGCTGACCTCCTGCACACTGGGTTGTAATTATTTCTGGCAACATGTTGCAAATCACAGTCACAAGTAAGAGCTGGAAATTTACAGCAGGAGAGACAGGATAGTGTTGTGGATCAAGGCATGAGACTGGAAGTCTCAAAGCCAGGGTTCTGTTTCTGTATCTGCGGCAGTCCTGAGAGGGAAAGGGAGAGAGAGCATGGTACCTGTTCTTAACTGCCCTGAGCTTTTCTGACCCTAAATCTAAACAACATCAACAGTACCCAGAGCTCAAAATACGCTCCATAAATCCATATTTTCCATATAAAACATTAATGTTCTAGTTAGAAGTTTGTCAACGAATAAGCCATCTCAGAATCCATACCATCTAAACATAGCCCAAATCCCATCTAGGGCTGTCTTTCTACAACAAAATGAAAGTGTAGTTGTAACATTTGGTAACTTGATCTAACAGTAACAGTGATGACTTGGCCATGCAGGCTTTACCACGGGCTAACAACCATAGTATTTACCCAGGCTGCGTCCATGGTATTCATGGGCCTGGGTGGTTGGGAGCTAAGTTAGGCTGACACATATGACAGCTTGTGCTACAATCACACCTTCACTTATAGTGTAGACATACCCTAAATCAGGTCACCAAACTATGGCCCACAGGTTGGGTCCAGCCCACAGAGCCTCTGGATCTGACCCAGAACTGTGGGCTTTAATGGCAAGGGACTTTGACCGCATTATGCTGCACTGTAGACAGACAGTGATCAACTTAACCTACACTATGCCATAGCCCAGCTGGGAGCTCTCCAGGCCATGCTGCATTTGGGCAAGGTGGAGAACCAGTAGCACCCAGGTCTTAGCGCCAGACCATCTCTAGGAGCCAAGATGAGCTATATTGGTTTTCCCCTGAAAGAACATTGCCACCCACTGACATAAATCATCCTTCAACCTCTACCCTCATCTAAGAATCTGTACTTTCTCTAAAGTATGGTTTTGCAGCATGAAATTTCAGGGCAGACTTTGGCCACTGAAGTTAAAACTGACATTCCTGAGACAGAGTCCCTTTACAGGAGGTACCTGTTCTAGGAGCACCATCTTGTTTGCCTCAAGGGAATTACATCTCAGGTACCTGACTTGATCTCCACTACAGTATCAGCTGATGGTCAGGTATTCTGAGATTCATAGATAGGAAATGCTAGAGAAGTCCCAAAATTTTTCCTTGATTTTTATATGCACAGTATTTTGTTTAAATGGGGATGGAGGGGTGTAGATACAGATATTTTACTATTTTACTTGCATATTTTCCTTTTAAAATAAAATAAACACTAACACTATGGATATTGCATTCATTTTAAAAGTAGATATGTAACCAGATTTCCTAAGAATCTGAGCTTCTCTATGAGTCCATCCCAATTGGACCAAGCTATATTGACCAGCAAGTTATTTTAGATGTTGATCTTGTGATCTATTCAACAGAGAGCAGTGGAAACTTACCTGAAGGCATTCTGATGAAAAATAAAAAACTACAAAGAGTTGTTAAGCTGCAGTGCAGGCTTATATTTCATTTGAATTGCAGGGTTCTTTCACAGAGACTTGAAACCTGAAAACCTCCTTTGCATGGGACCAGAACTTGTGAAAATAGCAGACTTTGGCTTAGCCCGAGAAATCAGATCCAGACCGCCTTACACAGACTACGTATCTACAAGATGGTAAATGCAGGTGTTTGGCTATGTTGTAAGATGGACATATTTAACTGAAGTTAATGTGCTTATGGAGCCATAAATGCAGTGTATCACATTTAATTTAGCCTAATTAAAATTGTCAATGCATGCAAGATAAGTAGTACAGGGACACAAAGCAGTACCGTACCTGGAAATAATTAATATTGTTTAATTACTGACACATGAAAAATATTCTCCAACTCTCATAAAATGTTTCATGATATGCAGTCTTTAAGAAGCATAGGGAAGAGCTGATGCAGTCAAGGGGAAATGCTGAGAATGTGGCATGCTAGGGAGACTTAGAGATAAAAGCCTGATTTCTAAAAGAGCTGCAGTCCCTTCTACTAAGCAGCTGCTAATGGGAACCCGTTAGAGGACACTTGCTGTTTTCTGCAAAGCAGAGAACAAAAAACTCAGCTTGACTCGCTTGGAAATAACCATGTTGTGAAGCACTCATTTGTGAATACCATAACTGTGGTTGTTTTACAGGTATAGGGCTCCTGAAGTTCTCCTGAGATCCACCAGCTACAGTTCCCCCATTGATATCTGGGCTGTAGGTTGTATAATGGCAGAAGTTTACACACTGAGGCCTCTTTTCCCAGGTGCCAGTGAAATCGACACTATATTCAAGATTTGCCAAGTGCTTGGAACTCCAAAAAAGGTAGCTGAGTGAGAGTTGAGTGTTTAGTCATGTTTCACAGGCCAGCAATGTTAAAATGCTGATGAACTAGGGTAGAAGGTCATCTTCTATATTTGTTGCTATACCCCGTACTGATTCAGAGCTGAGTTGTAATAAAACTTTAATTTTCTCTGAAGTCACTAAAATTGTTTTGAACATGTTCAGCAAAGTATTATATTATCAAAGACCAAAAAAGGTAGTTGGTATTTCTGGTCTCCTTTGGTCTGTTCTGTTGCATTAAACTTTCACTTACAACTGACTGTGAATTTTTCTCCAGTAGTTAGACTCCTACCTCCTAATCCCACTTGTGCCAGTAACTGGTGATTCGATCCTGCCATCAGATACCCTGCCTGTAAAATAGCTCTCTGTCACATCAGAGCTTTGAATGTTAAGACTCTGAAGCACCTTGAGATCATTGGATGAAAGATGCTGTGAATTAATAATCTTAGTATTTAAGAGCCATGATGTCGTGTGACATTCTAATGGAATACCATTGCTTTCAGAATGACTGGCCTGAAGGCTATCAACTTGCATCTGCCATGAACTTCCGTTGGCCCCAGTGTGTACCTAACAACTTGAAAACACTAATTCCTAATGCAGGCAGTGAGGCGGTTCAGCTTATGCGAGACATGCTACAGTGGGACCCCAAAAAACGACCAACAGCTAGTCAGGTTGGTTTTCATTTTGTTTATCAGCACCTGGTGACTGTTCATCACTCTTTCCCTTTTTCCCACATCTTTAATGACAGCTAGGACTCTATCCCTGCGAAGTATCTACTCTAGACAGTCTTAACCTAGACAGACTGGGTAACACATCACTCAATGTATAGCTGTATAGGCCATAGAGTCCTTGAGCTAGGGTTCAGGACCCTTGATATGTATACAAGAGGCTCAATCATGTTAAAGTCTGTGGCTCTGTGTCTTCCTTGCTATTGGTATTTGTGCTACCTAAGTTAAAGCATTCTAAGGTATGGCCACTCATGCTGCAGTCACACCTTCTGTTGCAAATAATGAGCTCCTCAACCTCTGTAGGGGTTGAGGGAATTCATTACCTTACAGGTTATGGACCTAGGTCAATAAACAGGCAGGGGACCTAGAGAGAACTTAAGGTTAAAATTCCTTTGACTTCAAGAAGACTAGGCCTGGGTTGTTATTTTGCATGCAATCTCTCACAGAAGGTATATCCATAAAGTGTTGAATCATGTCAGAGATAAAGTATTTATTAAATAAAAGTGGGAAAGAATTTCAGAGATGAGAATATCCAAAAATATATCTTCAAATTATTTAGCACAAATAGTTATATAATCAAATGGAACTTTGCAGCCAGGTAAGACAAGAATGTAATGTGGTAAAAACCTATGAGGCAAGGAGATACTGGACACTTCTTCCAGTTAATAGGATCTAGGGAGTAAAAAACTGCACCTGGATAAGCAACACTAGGCAACAATGAAACAGTGCTTTATTGTTCACTCACAACTGCTTTATTTCCTTGTAAGCAGGGCAAAGATGATTGAAACTAGCCTGTTTTATCTGCCTTTCAAGAACTGAAAGGGTTAAGGAGGGGGGGAAATCCAACTAAAATTAGAATGTACCTTCTCTCTCTCTTCTTTTGTATGGCATCAGACATCAACTTCCAAATCTGAGCCACTGTCTGGTATCACTCAATGCGTACACGTCATCTGCCCCATTTGGGCATTTGTAAAAATTGCAGCTTTTGATAAAGTGCTGTGTTGTTTGTTGGGCACTGCATTCACACGTAGGGCTGTCCAAGATTTTCGTCTTGTACAGTGTTGTTTTGAAGAGACCATATCCGGATCTCAATCTGTTTAGCTTGACCCAGGTCTCTCGGTCAAGGTCGTGCCCAGTGGGGGACTCATTCGGTATAAAACTGTAGGAATAGGTCTGACCTTTCCCAGCAGTCAGCCCACTCCATTGCCGCCCATAGGTTTGGTTCAGCATCCCTGATCTCTTCCAGGACCTTGTGGGCTTCATGTATAAATGTTTTATGACTTTTAAGCCTCCATCTGTTTGAGTCTTCAATTAACAGTTGATGGAACAGGTGATTTTTGCCATCTCCTGCCTCAGTGATGTTAGTGTAATCATGTTAGAGCATGTCTTGTAACACCTGGTCTAAGGCCCAACAGTACAGGGAGTAGATATGTATGTAAATTGTGCAACCAGTTACGAGTCTCAGCACACTGTTAAGTAGCATTGAGCTTTTTAGTGTGACAACTTCTGAACCATACAGTAGTGCAACATTTTCCTGGGTCATATACCATTGTAAGTGTGGTAGTTCTGAGCACCTTGAATTTGGCACCCTATGACATTTTGGCTAAACAACTTAAGGCAGCTACCCATTCAGAGACTTTACTGCTGACCTTCTGAGTGTGGTGTGACACCTAAGTAGGTCGGGATATGCTCATGAGGAAGGACATGGTTACCTACTCTGATATTCACCGTGCCCTTGGCTCGACAATTGCCCAGGTGGAAGGTGATGATACTGATTTATTGATGGACAACTTTTTGTATTTAAGTGCCGTTTGTGGAGGTAGTCGCAACGACTTCCATGTCAGTACTCAGTAACTTTTCCAATTCTGTCTTCTCTATTCCTTGGGCTACTATGGCAACATTTTCAGGGTACATTTATCATTTTGGTGTTATATGCAGGAAGTCTAAAGTACGTACATTGAAAAGTATTGGTGCTACCACTGGCCCTTGGGGAGCTCCATTCTTCAGAGTTTATACTCTGCTTTTTTCTGCTTGGCTGGTAACGAGTTGCTGGAGATCATGTTTATGATGAAAGTACATAGCCTGCAGTCAGGTATCATAGGGTACAGTTTATATTTGAGGCCTCGGTGTCATATAGTGTCATAGGTGGTTTTGAGGTCAATAAGGATCACACCTGTTTTCTGCCTCATTTCAAATCTATTTTCTGTGTCAGATAGAAGTATTATAATTTGGTCAGTGGTACACCACTTTTTCTGAAAGCCAGCTAGTTCTTTTCGGAGATGGGGATCAGAGATGTTCTCTGTTCTATTCCGGATTATGTGTTCCATAATTTTGTATGTAACACAGTGAGATGGATTGGTAGCGTTTTGGATCCTGTGGTGGTTTTATTTGGGTTTCAGGATGGCAACAACATCAGCTTTTTTCCAGATTTTTCTGAGTCTGCTACTTTGTAGCCATTTATGCATGAACTAGCCAATTGCCCATCAAGAATGATGGGTGGTGGATGTGGGCAGGGACAGAGGCCTGCGTCCGGCTCCCCCCAACCCACACTCCCCACCACCATTGCAGGGCTGGGCCGGCCCCTTCCCCAAACCTTCCCATTGCTGTTTCTGGGATGGGCTGGGCCCGGTGCACCCCCACTGCCATACTCTGTTTTGGGGCTGGGCATGCCCCCTCACCCTCCCCATCGCCACTGTGGGGCCAACATTGGGCCCACCCTACCCCAACCTTCTCCGGTGCTGTTTCAGGGCCAGGTCAGGCCATTCCCATCCACCCTCCATTTCGGGGCCAGGCCAGGCATGTCCCCTCGCCACCATTTCGGGACCTGGCCCGCTCCTCCCATGCCCCTCCCTCCGCCCTGCACTGGTCCGGGTCTGCTGCTCCCCACCACTTGCTGCCAAGGCAAGCCGACTTCTCTTCCCCCCCACCCGCTTCAGTCCTGCTCCTCCCCTGCCCACCACCACCCCATTGGCCTGGGCCCTCTGCTCCCCTACCCCCCACGTTGGAAGGGAGCAGCACAGGAGAGAGAGAGGGGGTGAGGGCAGCAGCGCTGGCCTCAGCCCCCATGCCTGCAGGGAGCAGGGCATCTTGACCCCCCCCTTTTCCCCCATGCTGGTGCCACTACTTCCAAGAAGCAAGGGGGGAGGGCAAGGCCAACTCCACTGGCCTTTTCCCCCATCCCCTGTTCTGTCCGTTCCGTTGCCACTGCCTCCAGGAAGCAGGGCAGGGCACCAGGGCTGCACTGGTTTCTCCCCCCACCCCTGCTCTGTCCCCTGTGTCCCCGTGGCAGTCCGCCATGCTGCCACCTCCTATCTGAATGCTGTATTTGCACTCTGGTTGGTTGTTTCCGTCAGCCAATCATTGTGCAAATAAAGCGTTATGGACAGACAGACTATGACTTTTATAATATTAGAATTACTGAAGCCATCTTTTCATTGTGGTTCCAAGCTTTGTATTCTGGGAGTATCTTATCTGGTCCAGTAGCCTTGCCAGTCTTGATCATTTTGAAATCAGTGTGATCAATGTGTTGAACTCATTGCCAGAGATAGGGGCAGTTAAGTTAAGGTTGACATTGGGGTGATTTAAGTTGTTCATGAGTCAGGTTTCTGAACTAATCATTTCTCTGTGTTGCTTGCTTGGGTTACTCTATTTGCTGTTGTTGCACAGTATTTTTGGTGCAGGGAATGTCATTTTTGGTGCCTTTGCCTGTAAGGTGGTTAATGATGCACCAGTGTTTGTCTGCTTGAGTAGGTCATATCCAATCCTGTGGAAGTAAGTCACCTCTCCTTTTTGATATTGTTCATGTGGTAGCCAGCTGTTCTGTATTTCTTACAGTTGCAGGGGCATAATGATGTTGAAGAGCTGATCACACTGCCCTTCCCAGCTTGTCACATACTGGCTTCTATAGCCTCTGTGTTGCATTTTGGAAGGTGTTATGTCCCATGGTAGTGTATGGCAAATCATTTCTGATGAAGGTAGCAAGACCGTTTCTGGTGAAGCTAGTGGATTCTGCTGGCTAGAGAATTGGCAAGGTTGGAACCTGAGAGCTTCATCTTCTGCAGCTGTTCTTTTTATGCTTCTTGTAGAAGGACTGCATGTGGCTTCAGTTCCCTGGTGATATGTTCCATCACTGATTGCTGGAGAAACATTAAGTTGAAGAACAGCCAAGCTTCCCCTCTTAAATAGGAAAGGTTTCTCTGGTTCATCCTGTAGTTACTCTATAAACATTGGAAAGTATGGAGTATTGACATTGGAAAAATTGAAAGTCCAATTGCCTTGGTAGTAACTTTTAATTTTGCTTTACAGCTACTCACAGGAGGCACCACAAGAAGGCAATTGCTGTCTTCCCCGCAATGTACTTATAATACATGTTTAAAATTCTTCATTTCTGGGAAAACTTACTTTTCCCCTCTAAGTTTATAGAGCACCTTATGCTGTTCTCTTTGGCAGTATATCTTCCATTGTCTCTTTCCTTTGTCAGGTATTACTTGACCTAGGAGTTATCCCATGTGACAGCTTAGTCAGGGACTCTGGCTTCCTCCATTGAATACTGATGCCTTTGTGTTTTAGGCACTTCGATACACATACTTCCAAGTTGGGCATGCCTTGGGCACCTCTCACTGCATTCAGGACCTGGGAAAACATCAGAAAGAACTCCATGATAAACCAGCACAGCACCATATTAAACCTGCTCCTCCTGCACAGCCTCCCCCAAAACCCCAAGTCCGTCTTTCATCCAGAGCATTGCAGCAAAGCCAGTCTTCCCAGCAACTGGTGTACCCATATAAAATAGATGCCTCAGTGAGTGATCATGTAAGAGAGGACAAATCTAACCAGGTGCTTCTGCCAGCAATTCACAATAAGGTTCCTCAACAGGTAAGGAACAAACTGGAACAACCAATGAACCTGTTTTTCATAAGTTAAAATTTTTTTGGTGGTGTTTTTATGAATGAATTTGTTGTCCTTGTATTGTAAGAAGAAGAAGAAGAAGAAGAATAGGAGTTAAGAATAGCTGGGCTATCTCTCTTCACCCTGTTATAAGTAAAAAAAAACAAAACAGCTCCCTGAAATCAGTGGAGTCTTGGGATCTAGGCCCACAAACATGTTATTGCAACTTGTAGCATGTCAGCTACTCCTCGGTGACTGTCCATATACATGCTCTAAACTGGCAGTAAGTGCAAGTTAGCTTATCCAGGTTTCTTCCTGTTTCATGGCAGCTTGTTCATCTGTCGTTACTTAGGCTGAAATAAAGCAGATAAGTGGGCAGAGCTCACATTTATATTACGGCCACTTTGTGATTCTGGCATCATAAAATGGCTTTAAGAGAATCTGTAATTTATGCTTACTTCATGTCATTTACAATGTCAGGGTGATGTGGAATGCTTTTAGTGTGCATGAGACTTTGGCCCAAGTGAGAGAACAGTTGGGACCAACCAAAGAATAAGTAGTAGTTTTTACTGTGAAGATGTAGCTTTTGCACTTGAGCATGTGCAAAACTCAACAAAATGCAAATATATGTATGTTCACTTAAACAGCTGCTAAGGAGGTAGGTGCTGGGATTTGTACCTGCAAAATCCAGTAAGAGAAATCAGTTGTACTGGTGCATGTTTTAGTGTTTATGCCACATGGATCCTGGAACCTAACGTATGGGCAGTTTGGCAGTTTTATGTCCGTAAGAGTGGAGTCTGAAAGCAGAAATCCAGCACAAGGTGATCTTTAGAATTATAAAATACTAGGGCTGGAAGGAACTTCAGGATAGGGTCATGTTTAAACAATCTCAGCTAAGTGTTTGTCTAACCCAGGAATGTTTAACCCTCAGCCTGCAGGCCAGATCTGGCCCATGAAAACATGACATCTGGCCCACAGGACTCCTTGGGAAATTTGGGGGTGAGGGAGCCGTGGAAATTAATACACCACCCCTCTTCTGCTACCAAACTCCCAAGTCCTGTGTGGCCAGGTGGGGGCTGGGCCACACCCCCTTTCTCTCCTGTGTGGCCAGGTTGGTGCGAAGCCATACCTTCTTCCTCACCAGGACTGAATCAGGGCTAGAATAACCCCCGCTCCCCCAACACAGCCAGGTCAGACCCATGGATGGTTGGGCCCCGCCCATGCAGCCCATGGTGCAAAAAGGTCTAATCTGTTCTTAAAGACTGCCAATGATAGGTATTTTACAGCCGGTCTTAAGTAATCTTAACTCCCCCCTCCCATACTTAAAAAGGTTGCTTTCTGTAGTATAGTAAAAGAAGAAAACTAGAGAAAAGAGACCTTAGAGTTCCATCCTTCTACAAACTGTCTTGTTGAAACAGAAGGTGATACAGGAGATTAATACAAAATCTCTCTCTCTCTTCTTTTTCTTTGTGGTTGGGGAGAGTAAATTCTGTCTTGATTCCTACCCTCTTACTTCCTTAGCTGCATGCTGTAAATACTGTGTTTTCATTGTACTGGCAGAAAATTCCAGGTGGGGTAGAGAATACAAATGGTGAACTGAAACCAAAGCCTCGGCGAAGATGGGGTCACATTACTAGAACAGTGAAAGGGGCTAAAGATTGGGATGACTTGGAAGACCTGGATTTTAACTCTTCCCTCAGCAAAACAGATTTGAAAAACAAGAAAAGACAGACCAATGAAGGTCTTTGTAGGTAAGTTGTTTTGGTCTCATCTTTAGACTTTACTCCAGTCCAGTGATCTTACAAGGTTCTTTCCAGCCCTAATGTCTATGAAATCTATGATACTTGGTGTCATTTTTTTCTCCTTTCTTTCTCTCCTACATATATATTTAGATGGCTTCTAATGAGTCAGTGCCAGGTGCTTTACATTTGTACACTCCAATTATTCTTGGCTTTTTGCTGTCCCCTGCACTTGGAATAGCCACTCCCTGCTCATGGGCTCCTGATCCCCTTTACACGTTTTTTTCTCAAACATGCTTAACTTGGGAAGCCTTTCTGGTGCTGCTTTCTCAGAATGCACCTTTACCACTTCACACTTGAATCATCATGTTAGTGTGTTCCGCATGGCTGAACTGTATTGTGTCTCTGAATTAGGCTGCAAGTCCCTTGAGTCAGAGGCAATTGGAAGAGATTACAGAATGACTTGTCAGTGACCTAAGGTCTCTTAAAAAGAAGCCTTAGGCTCCTAAGTGACTTTAGGTATTTTAACAAAACAGTGAGGTGATATTTTCAATCTTTATAGTACCAAACACATCATGAGCAGTAATTCTTGGGGATGAGATGCAGGAAGAGGTTAGCGTGACTGAAATGCATGCCTTGAATTTTGTGCTTATGGTGGTTTCTCTCTGTTACAGATTTGAAAGTATTTTGGATCTGAAGCCTTCAGACAGTGTAGGTTCTGGCAGCAGTGCACCTTCCCATGCTACCTTTCCACGGCAAGACACCCCTACATTACATGTTTCTGCAGCCAAACAGCATTATTTGAAACACTCTAGGTATTTACCTGGTTAGTAGAAATCTTTTCCTCTTTCACGTGACCTTTTGACAGCAATGGGAAGTGATAAAGGACACGTGGGGCTTTATCCTAGGCTCAGGGAGACTGTTCTGTGTTTGAAGGAAAAAAAGGGGGACATAGGTTGGAAGGAGCTGTCTTGTTAATTTAAAGCAATTACCCTATGAAGAGATAGCTCTAGCTAACTATAAATAGAGGTATGTCTGTTTTACCAGCGTGCAAAAAAGGGATGAGTGTCAGGAGCAGCCCTTTTCTCCTGCAGCACAAGCAGATTTGTAGACTAGCTTTTGGGTATGCCAGAGCATGCTAGGAAATGTGCCTCATTCATGGATCAGGCACTTGCTTGTATCCTGATCTGGTCTTCTGTATCAGAGGAGGGGAAGCATGCCTCCAGGATACCCCATGAATACATACTAGGGCTGTGCGAAATGCCTGAGTTTCGTTCTGGTTTCAGATTCAGTGTTTCATCTCGGTATTTCGTAGGGCTGTCCAAAACAGCTGTTTCATTTTGTTTTGGATTTGGCATTTCAGAGGGACAGTGATTCATTTCAGTGTTTCGAATCACTGTCCCGTTTTGTGTAGGCCAAAATTGTATCAGAGCTGTTTAGGAATTTCAACAGTGTTTCAGCCATAAGCTATAATGAGGAATCACAAAACTGCCTATAACTTTGTCATTTCTTCCCTGATTCGGATGAAATGTGTAGGAATGCTATCCCCTTCTGTGAAGCATGCCAAGTTTCAAGGAGATGGGTGCAGCAGTTTCTGGGAAACTGCACCTCAAACTGTTCAAGGCAAACGCATATCACTTGCTGGCAATGGCAGCTGGCTGTTGTCCTGCACACAGATCCGGGGGTCTGCTCTCCTCAAGAACAGTTTGGCACAGGCCTGCAGCCCTCCCGGGGGCACGGTCCCCAGATCTGGATGTGGGATGACAGCAGGCTGCCACTGCCAGCTGGGGCCAGCTCCAGCACTAGGTTGTTCCCAGCGCTCGGTGTGGGCTGCACAGCAGCATGCTGTCATCTGTATGCTCTGCAGCCAGCAAGTGTGGAGTACAAAAAAAAAAAAAAAAAAAAAAAAAGCCCTGCACTCACCAGGTCTGGCAGTGGCAACTGAGGCCTCTGAGGGCTTGTAGTAGGGCCCCCCTGTGCAGCGCAGGACAATGAGGATCCCCACCAGCCTGGCACCCATGTGGCAGCTGCACCTTCACACAAGCGTGTCACGGCTCAGCAGGGTGCTGTGCACTGCCTGGGGCCTGGGACAGCTCCAACAGTCAGCAGGAGCTCCTGGTTTGATCCCCAGCTCTGGGGACCTGAACATTTCCCCAGCTCCCTGTTTGATTCCCCAGAAACATCTGAAATGTTTCAGAAACATCCGGATTGTTTTGGAAAATTTCCAAAATGTTTCGGATGGTCCGTTTCAGATTCGGTGTTTCGACTGTCGAAATGTCCAAATATGAAACAAAATGGCTGCTGAAATTTTGCACAGCCCTAATACATACTGCTGGTAGCAGCCAAAGTTAGGTGGCAGCAGGGGGACACTTTCTTTCCTGCCACCTGGAGGAGTTAAGTGTACCCTGCAGTGTGTAGAGTCAAGCCCTGCTGTTTTTTTGTTTGTTTGTTTGTTTGAAGGACTCCTTTGTCCATACCTCTTAATTTTTGCAGTCTCCGTGCCACCATTGGGGCAGAATGCAAACATTTTATATAATAAGTGCTTTTTAGAAGGGTTGTGCATAAATGCGTCGTGCTGGGTTTCATAGTTTCTAGCGTCGGAAGGGACCTGAGTAGATCATCAAGTCCAACCCCTTGCCATGGCAGGAAAGAGTACTGGGGTCAAACGACCCCAGCAAGGTGTTTGTCTAGCCTCCTCTTAAAGACCCCCAGGGTAGGAGCCAGCACCACTTCTCTTGGAAGTTGGTTCCAGATCCTAGCCGCCCTGACCGTGAAGTAGTGCCTCCTGATAGCTAGCCTAAATCTACCCTCTGCCAGCTTGTGACCGTTATTCCTGGTCACTCCTTGTGGTGCTTGGGGGTACAGGGACTCCCCCAGTGCCTGCTGGTCCCCTCTGACTAGTTTATAACAGGCCACTAGATCCCCCCCCTCAGCCTTCTCTTGTGAAGGCTGAACAAATTCAGGTCCCGTAGCCTCTCCTCATAGGGCCTGCCCTGCTGCCCCCTGATCATGCGAGTGGCCCTCCTCTGGACCCTCTCCATGTTGTCCACATCCCTCTTGAAGTGTGGCGCCCAAAACTGGACACAGTACTCCAGCTGCGGCCTGACCAGTGCCACATAAGGGGGGAGTATCACCTCCTTGGACCTTCTTGAGATGCATCTGTGGATGCATGACAAGGTACGGTTGGCCTTCCTGATTTCTTTGGGTGTGTCTAACATGAGAGTTATTCTGGAATTGCTGCTTCTGATAAATTAACTCAGCATGAAGAATTTTTTTCAAGTGGACTAAACTCATCTGGAGTGTGATGCTATATTGTAGAATAAGCACATCCACACATGGAGTTGGTTAATCAGGAATAACTAATCTGTAGTACCGCATGCTTCATATTGGCTAGAATGAATTTCCCTGTAGAGACGAACCTTTCGTTTTATTGGGATTAAATGAGACAAGGCTTTCTCTTCTCAGTCTGCATCAGAAGGCTTTGGGGCATCTTGTTAATATTTGCAAGTAGCCAAAAGAAAAAGTGAACAGTTCATTAGCTTTTATTTTCACTAAATTTATTTTTTTTTAATGGTGGAGTTCCATAATTATACAGTTTTGACTATACATGTCAGGGAGTGCACAGCAAAACAGGTTGAAACCAATGTTTCAAGTGTTCTTTCAGTTCTACCTGAGAGTCTGATGCAAATTTACTGGATTCTCATTATGCCAGGTTGCCATAACCTTAATCCTGTTTGTAATGTACAAATGTGCATGTAACTGTAACATCCAGGTTAGAACCTTAAACACTTGGAAGAAGTTTTTAAATGGAGTTTGGAGTCACTAGTTATGCTGCTAAATGTACATTAAACATGGTGAGCGCAAGCCTGCCGTTATTTGTCACACCGCATTCAAGTATGTTATGCTGCCTTCATGAGACAGCAAAAGTAATAATACGTGGACCATGTCTTCATGTGTGTGCATGTTGTGGGCACAACTTCTGTTGATTTCAGTAGAAGCTGCACAAATATGGAAGTAGAACTGAATATTGTAAAATCCTTATCCTGCCTATTTCTCTAAATTAAAAGAAAACCCCTGACAGTAGCATAAAGTGTTTGTATTTAAACAAGTTGCATTTACATAGCACTGTCTGCCCTGGGCAGTACCAGAGCATTTGACAGTCTCAGGACCCTGATCCTACAAGGAATCTGAATATAGGGACCCCTCTAATATTGAGTCCCCTTTAACTTCAGTGAGAATCATGATGCTCAGTAAGGGCCTGTGCATGTTGTTACATTTCAGGAGCAAGTCAAAAAATCAAACATCTGCCAAAGCCTAGTTTCCCATCAGATACCTTGAGCTCTCTGCCAGTGTGCCCATTCCAGAAACAGGGCATGTACCTAGATGTAGCAACATTACGTGAGATGATAGAAAGTAGCCCGCATATAGCTAGCAAGCCCTGTACAGTCAAGCATGGAGAGGTTTTTCATTAAGCTAGTGTGCAAACCATCTGCTCACACTATATTTTTGTACTGATACAAACCAATGTAATATTTGCATATGAGACTAAGATTTCAGAATGGCCAATTAACTCTTTATTTTTCTCCAATAGGAATAAGCACAAGGAATAGCATCATCTCCAATTCAAGCAAAGATTCCATTTCATCTAATCCTTGGCCCAGTTCTGGTTTGCCTGGGAAAGTATCAGGTGTGGTAGGAGGTGTCAACAGGATGAGTTCAGGTAAAAGTTGTAAAAAGTTAAACATTACGAGAATTGAGATGGGAGAGGGTGAGAATTTTTGTAATGGCCTAAAGGTGCCCCACCCTGTTTTAGATCTCAGCCTCTTAGAAGGCCAGGTTTGATCCTTCAGATATTGAGAATATGGAGATCTGGTCAGTTTTAAATATCAGTAGCCCCGAGTCCTCTTTCTAGTTTTTGTGAAATTTTACTTTCCTGTTGCGTATTTTCAGTTGCTGGCTGTTTTTCTTCTGCTGTGTAAATAGCTCATGCAAACAGGACAGAAACGGACTGCATACAAGAATAACTGGAACAAGTGCAGTCAGATAAACTAAATGAAATTTTTGCATTCAGTCTAATCTGATAATATTAGCTACAACTGCTTCAGTAGTCTTGGAGTGAAACTTTCTTCTTGGGAGCACTGTCAAAGTGATAGAGGTGAAATTTTCATCACCACTTGGATCTTTTGCAGTACATTTTGCTGGAGTTGTCTTGCATTGCAGAAACAAACCTTTGCTCTATACAGGTTAACTCCTTTGGTTTTTGCTAAACCCCATCTGTTCCCCGTTTTTTAGCTTGAATAATCTACTCGGTTAGGGACAGACTTTCAAAAACCTGGAGCCTGAATTGATTCAATGTTTGCAGGTTAGTCTAAGCTGCAAAAATTGAACCAATTTGCAAGTGAATAGACATTCACTTTTGACTCTGGAAATGCAGGCACATGCCTACAGTAGCTAAGGCCAGAAGCTAGGGTATACTAGAGCTAGCCCTTAGCTGGAGGGAAGCTGAACTGAGGGGGGGACATGGCTTGGCCCAGACAGGCCTGAGTATGATTTGGGAGGGGTTTAAACCCCCACCCTGCCGGGGTCTGCCTGGAAGGGGAGGAAAAAAGTAGCCCTTGCCAGGGGTCCTCAGCCCTCCACCCCCTCACTGGTCCAGCAGCAGGAGCAGGGGTGGGGCCAAACCCTGGTAGCCTGAGGGGAAGCGGGGCTTAATCCTCCAATTGCAGGGGAAGGGGCATGGCGTTGGCACCGATAGGCACCACTTGTGCACCTGGGGCCACAGCAACTAGACACCAGTTGCCTGAAGGGAAGTGGGGGGTTTAATACCCCCATTGCAGGCAGCAGTGGTGAAGGACCAACATGGCACCCTGAGCTGAGTCCCTCTAAGGAGTGGTCAGCCAGGCATGGGAAAGGGGGAAGTAACCTGGCTACAGGCAAAGAGGGAGTGGTGCAGGGAAGCTGGAGCTAGCTACGGAGCCTGGCTCACCACTGCCTCCCTCTGCAGCAGCACAGCCCAGGCTGGGGTGGCCTTGGGGCAGCACCTGCCGCCTCCCACCTCCAGCCCTGTGCAAGGGCTGCAGTTTGCAGGTGGGCTGCAGCTGCATCGTGGCTGCCCATGCCTCTCCCTCTCCTGGTGGCAGCAGTGGCAGAGCAAACTGTTGCAGTGGACAGAGATGAACCACCAGTCACCTGCTACCTGCTTGCAGTGGTGCCAGATGCTCAGGCAGGCTGCTGCAGGCCAGAGGCATGGGCAATGGCAGGGGTGCAATGGACTGCCACAGCCCAGTCTGGCCCAGCCCCACAATCTAGGAGTTCAGCCCCACCCTGCAGCCCAGGGGCATAGGCAGCGACTGGCCCATGGCAGCCCGCCCCAAGTGCCCAGCGCTGCTACAAGCAGGCAGTGAGTGATAGGTGCCTCACCTCCCCCTGCCACAATGGTTCGCTCCACTGCCAGGAAAGGGAGGGGATGCACTGTTTGACCTCAGTCAGTTAAGTCTGATACTACATTCAACCAGGTTAGGGCATTTCGAAACTTATGTGTCAAAGGGGCCAGCAGGAGAGATTATGCTTAGGGGCAACCAATACGGGTTCATTAGAGGCAGGTCCTGTCAAACCAGCCTGGTGGCCTTCTTCACAAAATCCTTAGATGCAGGGGTAGCAGTGGACATAGTCTTTCTGGACTTTAGGAAGGCTTTCGACACTGTCTCTCACCCCATCCTCATTTAAAAAAAACTAGGGGACTGTGGCATCAACACCTACACAGTCAAATGGGTCACCAACTGGCTGGAGGGCTGCACCCAGAGAGTGGTGGTGGATTGGTCATTTTTGACCTGGAGGGATGTGGGCAGTGGGGTTCCGCAGGGCTCGGTCCTCAGGCCCGCACTGTTCAACATCATCAGCGACTTGGACAAGGGGGGTAAAAAGCACTCTGTTCAAATTTGCAGACGACACTAAGGTGTGGGGAGAAGTGGACATGCTAGGCAGGAGGAATAGGCTGCAATCAGACCTAGGCAGGTTACAGCGGTGAGTGGATGAGAACAAGATGGGTTTCAGCACTGACAAGTGCAAGGTACTTCACCTGGGGAGGAAGAACCAGCACCATACCTACAGGCTGGGGAACTCCCTTCTCGTCAGTGCAGTGGCAGAAAAGGATCTTGGAGTCATTATTGATGCCAAAATGAACATGGGCCGACAGTGTGGGGACGCAGTCAGGAAGGCCAACCACACCTTGTCACGCAGCCACAGATGCATCTCAGGCAGGTCCAAGGCGGTGATTCGCCCCCTCTTTGCGACACTCGTCAGGCCACAGTTGGAATACTGCATCCAGTTCTGGGCGCCACACTTCAAGAGGGATGTGGACAACATGGAGAGGGTTCAGAGGAGGGCCACCCACATGATCGGGGCAGCAGGGCAGGCCCTACAAGGAGAGGCTATGGGACCTGAACCTGTTCAGCCTTCACAAGAGAAGGCTGAGGGGGGATCTAGTGGCTGTTTACAAACTAGTCAGAGGGGACCAGCAGTTCCCCCGAGCACTCCCAGGAGTGACAAGAAATAATGGTCAAAAGCTGGCAGAGGGTAGATTTAGGCTAGCTATCAGGAGGCGCTACTTCATGGTCAGGGTGGCTAGGATCTGGAACCAACTTCCAAGAGAAGTGGTGCTGGCTCCTACCCTGGGGGTCTTTAAGAGGAGGCTAGATGTACACCTTGCTGGGGTCGTTTGACCCCAGTACTCTTTCTTGCCATGGCAGGGGGTTGGACTTGATGATCTGCTCAGGTCCCTTCCGACCCTACAAACTATGAAACTGTGTATTGGCCAATTGCATAACCTGCACTGGTTCTGCTCCCCCCACCACCTCTAGCCAAGTCACATCCCCCCTTGTGGCCATTCTTTGGAGCCTAGGGCATCATGTTGGTGCCCCTGCTGCTGCTGCCTCAAATGGGGGGATTAACCTG